TTCTTCTAGTGAAATCAATTTTTTGACATTGTTAAAATTGAGACATTGACGGATGGTTGTATATAATTGTTCAGGAATTTTTAGTGATATGAATTATACTCTCATACTTAAGTAAAATAGAACAAAATTGGATATTGCATCCGAGAAACATTATTTTCTTTGATATGTTAGTGATATGAAAAATTGTAGGCTATGACACACAAAACATGTAAAGTTATTGTCACTAGTGATATTTTTTTTGGATGAGTGTAGATCATTGAAAGAGTGGGAGATTTTTCAAACTATTTGTATCAATAAGTACAAATCTCCATTTTTGGATATTTTTGAATGAAAGATTGAGCAATATGTGATTAATGATTGTACATAATGAGAAGTTTTGATAGATATGAAGCAAATTCTGAAGAGTAAGAAAGTAGCACTATTAGGTTATCATTTATGAGTTTCAAGTATTTGCATCAAACGATAGAAATCAACAAAAATCATCTACTAGTAGATAATCAAATTGAAATAGTAGAGCTCTTATAAGATATGAATTATGGATTGATATATTCATTTTTGAAGATTTTGATATAAATATTAAGTATAATGATGACATGATGTTGATCTTAAGAGAAAAAAACCATCTTTTTATAAACAAAAGCCAAACTTTTGTAAATAAACTTGAATATAATGTTGCTATGGAGTGTGAGATCTTATTTGTTGATGAAATAATAAGATTTGAGAGCTAATTGAATTTTTAAAAAATCAAATTTTGATTGATTGCAAATTAACTTATTAGTTAAAGATAATTCAGTAGATGACAAATATTTCTTCATAGTCAGTTTAATGATTAGAGATTTCACACAAGGGAAACATATAAATTATAACAAATTTTTTTCCAAGTAAAAATGTATTATCTAATTTAACTTGTATGTGCATTTGCAGCAAGATCTAGTTTGATTGTGAATTTTATAGAGTTAATTATAACATGTCATCAATATCTAATGGAAATCAACATGAGACAACTAGTTGGTTTTAAGAAAAATAAATTAAAAAATTGGGTTTGTAGATTATTGAAATCATTATATGGATTGAAGTAAGTATTTAGACAATACAATGCAAGATTTGATAAATTCATGAAATCACAAAGGTTTTCAGAAATTGTGTTTCATTTTCATTTTAATTTTCAATTTTATTATTATGGTAATTAACATTGATGCGATAATTGTTCTGACAAAAAATCAATTTAACGTAGATAAATGTAAGAATCAATTAAACTATGCAATTAGAATGGAAGATTTAATTAAAGTACACAATAATAATAGAGATAAATTTTCATAGAAATCTAGAAAAAATAATATCTAATTAAATTAAGAAAATTACGTTTAATGTGTGCTTGACATCTTTCACATGTCACACTCTAAAGGAGTATATACCACTTTGGTAGCACATTTCAACCTATTATTAATATCATGAGAAGAAAAAGATGTTATAAATTTTAGCTAAAGATCCAATCAATGTCATTGAGAAGAGACAAATGTCATAAATTTTCTATGACAAAGATGTGGACAACCTCATGTATTTGATGGTACGTACAACAACGAATATTGTTTAATTTTTAAACAAGATGAGCAATTACATATCACATCAAGGGAATGTGGATTAAAAAACAACTAAATGATTTTCCAAATATTTGAAAAGTATCAATTACTATGATATTTTGTTTGATGATACATAAGACAATGTAAAATCCTTGTTAGTTGATGTTTATGCTGACTCAAAATCTAGACAAGAAAAAATCTAAACTGAGATAAGTGTTCACATTTAGTGATTAATTCATTATTCAGAGATCTAAATTGCACAAGTGCGTAGTCAAGTCCACAATGGAATCCATAATAGAATTGAATATGAAAAAACAGCATAAGAATTCATGTTAGTTATTTGGTTCAATAAGCTTATTACTCAGATGATCATTGAAACAAGAAATTATAAATCTTCATTCTCATAATCAAAATGTGTTACATTTTGCTGCAAATCAGATAATGAATACAAAAGTAAAATATATGTACATCATGTATCACTTTATAAGATACACAATGTCTATTAAAAGTTTGAGCGAATTAAGAATGACAATGAATTTAATCCAGCCAATGCGTTTACCAAAGTTATTATATACAAAAGTTTTAGTAGACATTGTGCTAATATGTAGGTTTTGCATAAGAAACATAAGTAGAGTTTATTAGCAAATTTTGTTACTTACATATATTTTTACTCTATCATGTTCTAACTATGGCTTGGTTTTAGTTGATTCTAGTTTAAAAAAACATATATGTTGTGTTTTTATTAACTTTGTGTAGAGTAATAATATGGATTATGAAGATGTTATAGCTCTTTTTTTTTCTTCATTCATGTCTTCACAACATGAGTTAAGAGAAATATTGTTGATATTAAAATTATATTCTACTTAGCCTAACTTGAGTTAGAATTATATATATGTTTAATTCTAGTTGTGGTTGGAATTAGTATTTCTGCTACTTAATATATACAGAAGTGCAATTAGTTAGAATTAGAATTATGGAATTAGAAATAGAAATTGTGCTTTTCAGTATTTATACAAAAACAATTCACACCTGACTTAAGTTAAAATTAGAATTATTCTTAACCCTCATCAATTTTAAAATTAGGGTTTTTGTTATCTAGTATATATATATATATAAGAGGGGAATTTACAGCTCACATTAAACACTTTTTTTTTTAAATCTTGTTTTTCTTGTGGACATAACTTGGCAGTGATGAACCACATTTTTTTTTATGTCATAGTTGCGGTTTTTTCAGTGTGTTCATGTATTTTGTGAATTACCCTGATCTTGATTTTACAATTTTATCAAGATGGAATTTTTGATAAAAAGGTTAGATGATCGATATTAACAATAAGTTTTATTCAATTGATGCATTGAAAAATATTATTCTTGAGGAGAATATGGAAGAAATTATGCTATTTTTCAATTTTTCCACAAAGAACATAAGTGGATTATATCAACAATTGTTGTTAATTTTATATTTTTTTTACTTTATCATGTTTGGATTACGATTCAATTATAGGTAGCTCTAATTATAAAACAAGCTTATGATAGGTTTATTTCTAAAGCCGTTTGTAGCGTAGCTATGTAAATTATGAAGTATATTGTTTACAGGAATTAAAGGAGAAATTATTATGAGCTCACTAATAATTTACAAAAACCTTCACTCAGGTTTTTTTTAATTCATGTTAGTTAAACTATACTTCATATTTTGATCAAATTGTCACTATAACTAAATAGCAAAACATCTCAATTACAGTCAAGTATTTCTTTCATTGAAAAATTGCGTAGACAAGCACCGCAATGGCAGATCACATTTTTCAGTGTCAACATGTGTGCTTAAGATTTTTGTTTTTTTTTCTTCTTGATTTTGCTAACAAATTTCAATAATAAGAAAAAATATATATGTTCATATCAGTTAATAAATTGAAAATCACACATATCTAATTAACAAGAATTTCTTACGCTTCAATGTCTATCATTTATAATTTTCCAAATATAATTTATAATAATATGTAATTAATATTAGATTTTTTTATGATACAAATGCAAATAAGGTATTTCTTTTCTACAAATATGTAATGATTAAATTATCAATATAAATATAAAGAAATTATTTATAAAGAAATATTGATCATGGAAAAAAAGATCCATGATTTTTTGCATGATTATTAAATTCAAAGAGAAAATAATCATGGAGAAGTTTTTTTAATATTACAAATAAAAGTAGATGGTATTTCAATGGCGATAAAGGAATGAGCTCTATAACATTTGAAAAAATGAGTAAAATCATCTGATAACTATTTTTGAATACTGAAGATGAACGATATATATATATATATATATATATATATATATCACTTTTTATATGAAAATATTTCCAAAAAATACAATAAGATAAAATTTGATTATCGAAAATCAAATAACCTCTCATGTATGATATGACAATTATCATTTTGAACAAAAAAATAATTGACATAAAACTTTACTCTAATATAGTTGATTACATCTAAAAAACACACAATTTGTTGTTGTATAATCTATATAATCGATCACAAATCAAAAAATCTAAATTATCTAAATTCATCTTCAGAAATAAGTTTATATGATTAAGATATGCATATCGTGTTTGAAGTATTTTGATATACAAATTATACTAATTACGAAGTATATTTTATAACTAAGTATGTTCAAGAGATTTGAAATTTTTCACAAATATATGCATACATATACATAATTCTTTGATGCTCTTTTGTAGAAAAAAAATTACTTATCAATATGATTGATGAAGTATTTAGTTTTGTTTCACCAATTTGACATCATAGAACTTTGAGTTATAATTAAATATTTATTTATTATTAAAATGTATGCATAATTATATTTCACATGTCTCTTATATTAGAGGACATACATTTTAGTCATTAATGCATTAGATAAATTCACCTTTTATATTGTATCCATAGATTTGACTAGAATGTTTTATAATATCATGATGTTTAGTTAATAAAACTAAATTATTGTTTTGATTTAGTTAAGAAGCCCTATTTTCCACAAAAGCTCAACCTACATTGAACATTTTCTGTAATTACTTTTTTCCATTGAGACAATCATGATTAGGTTTGATTGCTCACACATGATGTGCTTTTCAACATGTAACTATGAATTTTTTTAAATCGCCAAAGTGAATTATGTTAAGTAGCAACATTATTTTTTCTTAATCTATAATATTAACTGATTATGATATTGTGTTTTCTTTACTCGGAATATACAATCAAACAAATCTAAACTCGTTAAAATCCATGCTATTGCTCGATGAGCCATTATATAGTTTGTTGCTCATAGATCAAACTAATTCAGCTATAGTGATTACGCTAAGATGCACTTCTAACCATGAAACTAAGACATATATCATACATAGTCTTGTTGTGTGAAGACGGTTTGTTCTAAGTAATTAAGATGTAATATTTACCATCAAATACATTTCTAGTCATGAAACTAACACAGACCTAACCTGTGGTGTTCCGTTCATCCTTCTCGTTTCTTTCCTTTCTTTACTCTTGGCTCCATTCAAGACTTTGACAGAAACGTGACATCATCTAGGATTTGCGGAGTTCGTCATTCACTCCTACAAGTCCCCACAAGAGTCAATGTGTAGAACTAGCTTGTTGCGACTCTTCTTCCACATGCAATTTAGTTCCTATATATTTCTGAAATCTTCCTTTCTTCTGTCCTTATCTTCTGGCATAGTGATGGACCTCTGCCAGTTCCCCATCCAGCTGACAGCTTTCCTTATCATGCCTCTGCTGCATTCTCGTTGGTCCATCCGCAATCTTCCCTGGAAAGATCAAACGTCTTGAGGCTCCATGCGCAATCACACAGACTGAGCTCATTGTAAGTATTCTACACAGTGTAACTGCAGAATAGGGGCTTTTATATCCCTGACAGTCCTACGTAGCGACATACCCAATTTCTCCGTAGTGCCTCCAACTATGAATAGCAAATCGTAAAGGCTAGCGTGTAAGGCCAGCAGAACCAAAAGTAGTACTACTGTGTGTGACAGAGCTCGTGTAAAACGAGGAGATATTACTTGAATAATCTTAAGGACAGAATGCGTCACTCGCTGAGCACTAGACTAGACAATCAGCAAATCACGTCGACCACGTAAACTCGACTTTGTGCGAGATAGAAGCGACCTGGGTGGTTAACTATCATTCATCACCTAATACCCGGCTAGACTTGGAAACCATGGTCAGAACACATAAACCAGTGGAAAATGCACGTCTCGTGTTCAGACTTCGAATGCTGCTTACTTGGTGATGTAAGTGCTAAGTTCTCACTGAAATTCCAAAGAAGTCATGTTCCACCTCGTAAACTGCTGAGGAGTCGTACTCCAAGTAGCCGCATTCTTATTACACATTCTCCAAGGTTTCTCGTGTGCTTTTTTCGGCTCTTTTCCTGTCATGCTCAGAATCTGCCACCAATCAGCAGGCAGAGCATTTCCGTGCTTGTAATTCCCTGGTTCCTTCAGCATCACTTATTCTTGTATCGGTCCTACACACAGCACATACGAAATTCCTTTAGACTTCCAATGTGGGACGCTTCTTTTCTGCACCGACACAATCTGAGCTCATGGCAATTACCTCCGAATTTTAAAGCAGCTAAGAGTGAAATAGGAGCAAAGTAAGTAGACATAGAAGGTAAGCGGCAAGGAAGAGACATTAAGGTGGTACCGGTCCCTTTTGCCTCCAAGTCAGGTTGGAAAATTTCAGGACAAGGATGGGTGTCACCTGAGGGGTACAAGGGTAATGAGCTTGATAGGTGCTTCTGATTGTACCGTTCATTTGGATGTGGTTCCTATATCAAGTTCCTGAGTACACCCTTGCTCTCTCTACCCTACGTCACAGCCCCCATCCTACTCTTACTTCCAATTGTCTGGAGCCTCTAGACCCACCTTTACCTCTACTTCATTGGAGAGAACGGAAGAGTTCCAATTTTTTCAGCGCCAAGTCAAGGTAACCGTGACCATGGGCATATAAAGTGGGTTCCTAGAGCACGAGAACGTACTTTTTGGTTGCATTGTAGCGCTGTTACTTGAATGAGATCCGGCAGGCCACTTATTGCAAAGCTGCTGCAGAAACACGCCCCAAGTCGTTCCGGCTGCCAGGTGGATCCGTCAACAATATGGCTCCAGAACAATGATCACTCTACTATCGGTTTTCTTGCAGGCTTGTCAAGTTTCACCCTAGCAAGCTCCAAGCTTGAGAAGCCATGTGATATTTCGTAGGTATCAGAATGAAACTGACGAAGCTCCATCACTTGTCAACATGCTCCCATACTTGCCAAACTGTTCACCAGGAAAGTGAAGACAGATCATAGTTCTACGTACGACATCACCTTTGTCTGTAAAGGATTCACGAAGTGATTGGCCACAAAGTCCCCAATTCCATGTTATTTGGCAAAAAGCACATTCAAGGTGAGGCGAATAAAGACACGAACCATCGCAAAACACATGATATCGCACCTGGAACCATGCCATAACTTATCTATTTTGAGACAAGTTGGTTCCACCAGGAATTCTAAGTTGAAAATTGACATTCAATGTCGGCGTACTGCCACTGTTGATTTCTGGACAGGAACGCAGAGTTCGAACATTTTCAGTCTTCATATTCCAAAACCGATGTTCAAAACAATCAGTAAATAATCAGCGAAATTCCAGTTCTTATCGCATCTCTTAGTTCCTTATCATACGGTGCATGAGCTGAAAAGACAAAAAAGGACGAGCCCAATGATTAATCTCAACTGAAATGATTCATAAGGAACGATTTTTAGAAAATTGAATTATATTACAATGGAAGATACAATGTAAGACCAGATTCGCCCTGAGAACAAACTATTGTCGAATCTTGATCAAACTTCAACTAGGGACTATTTGCGAATGGAATGATAATGTATCAAACGATAGACCTTCTACCACCTCACTGGTTCGTTTTCTAGGTATAGGGAACCTCAAGCTAGTACAAACAGTTGTACTCTACCTGCCTCCCCACCCCATAAAAGATGACTTTGAACACAATGGCAGCCTTTGAATTCTACCGTTTATCCTATAACTAACTAGGGATAACAGACACCATAACAGCTTGACAAAAGCCAGTGTCTAGACCCTCAGCAATTTAATTTCCAATGAGGTGTCAACTTGTCGACACTGGTATAAGAAGTTGAACCTCGGGTCAATCTACTGCTCCAGACCTCCTAAGCTTAAGTTGGGCAAAGCTCAAAACCTAGAAGCAGTGGTAACCCTTCAAGTTAAACCTCGTGCTTATTTTACTGCTCTGTTGTCAGAAAACTCCAAAGTATCTCTCACATTGGGGACTGATCCTGCAGAGACGAAACATACCCAAAGACTTAGAGAACTATAATCACATTCTTTTAAACAAGGCCAGCCAACCTGCTTATCCAACTGGTACGTTCTCGGCGAAAATAAGGAGGTATGAAACTGATTGGCACTCAAACAAACTCATTACGTAAAATTTACTTACAGTTCATCATAATCACCAACTTCAGGAGACTAACGAACGACATCATTCTGTGATTGAAGACATAGCAAGGCAGAATGAAGTTTACCTTAATTGTAACTATAACGTAGGAGCTCATGCTCCAGCATTATCCTTCTCCATTGCAACCAGTAACGCTAGTCGTTCATAAACCTTCAACACGAAACCGGGATCAAAAGTCAAATTTACGATACATTCTAGAACCTTGGTTCTCCGATTAAACACTCCGTAGCATGAACACTTCAGTGATTACAAAATACTTCACTCAAACCTTCTTTATAACTTCCAAACTACTTCATAATATGAGTAGCCAACATGTATAGTAGTAGATTAACCAAACTGTCAGACATAACCTTTCCGATGATATGTTCCACCTTTTAAGATGAGAAGACGACTGAAGATAATGCACAAAATTACTTGATATACGCCTGTCATACAATTTGCATTAAGAAAACCTCGGCCTAGTGCTGAGTTCGTATAATTTGTAAGAGAAGTCGATACCTCGGGCAAGACACTGCCTGAAGTTCCATTAATTTTCACATCAGATGCGGCAATCTTGGAGGCATCTGTAGAAGACGGATGCAACCTTGCTCTCCCATCTTCAACCTGCGTCTCAACAAGATTTGACCATGATTACAAACCGGTGTTAGTGTAAGTGAAGAGCAACCAGTAAATATATGTTTTGCGCCTCATCCGAGTGAGTGAGAACAGGTATCCGAAGAACGGGATAGTAGCTCTGTAATTCCGAGAGGTTCCTGCTGTATGATTACTGAGGGTCTCGGTACTAAAGACTGACAGCTTGGGGCTTCTAACGTCAACCTGGACGATAATTCAAGAGTAAGTGCAAGAGAGCTTGTTTTCTTCTTGAATGGTCTAAAAGAGGAAGTAACAGCTCACTGAGAGCGGACGAAAGACGCCATCTTGCTGAGATCGGAGAAACTCATGCCTCCCATCACTCACTCGACATACTATCCAACAACCTTAGTACACTAGCCTTGGAAACATCAAGTTTAGAGTTCGGCGTACTAATTTTGTCCCATGATGAGGAGCAAACGGTTCTTCCAAAGCGTGTAAAATAAACACCGTAGTACCTGTGCTTCCCGTTGGAGCTCAGGAACTGAGGTTTGCTTGACAGCCGGTGGATCTTGGCAATGATATCTTGAGGCATCTCCTGGTCCCGACTCAGTAGATTCGGTAGCTTCAGAATTGTCATACCTGACAAGCGAAAAGTAAGAACCATTTATCTCCTCGTCTGATACTACAGGGTTCTACAAAATGCTAGAAGCTCACTGCATGCACTGGAGCAGATAATGTTGTACGAGACAAGTTCAATTGCGATACTTCGTTGAAATTGTGAGGAAACCAGTATTGAACAAATGCTCACCATTCGCGCTGAAGCCCAGCTCTGGCACGTGCAGTGTGATTAAAAGGTCCGTGCAGCTCAATGTTACATTCTACCATCATTTCTGCAGCAACAGAGGAAACATAAAAAGAGTGATTCAATTGATCAAAGTATCTTTCGCTGCTTCCTACTTTTCCAAGCTTACAAATGGATCCGAGTTGGAGCCTAGAAGGCAAAACCACAACCTCAGTTCACACACCTTTGAAGGTAAGACCTGGATCGATCTGCAACTTCTCACAAACTCTAAGAAACCAGGTCACTCCTACGCCAACGTGAGCGACTTCTTCTTCACCAATCCGACGCACTATAGCTGCACTCCGATGGTCTGCAAGACCAGAAAGTCTTTTGACTAACCTTGGACTGGCATCCAGCCCTCGAGCCTCCTGAAACGAAGAAATCAGAGAATTACGTTCGGTGCGCAACTAAACCCTGCATAGCACTTGGCGCAAAGATTTAAGCATGTAATCGACATGTTATAGTGTAAGATATTTCAAAGAGCAGATACCAAAACTGAGACCATAAACTTAGGCTAAGCAGCTAGAGAAGTTGAAGTGGTCAACAAAGGCCGAGGTAGGCACTCTCTTCTTCTTTCACGTTCAGGGTGTGGAGACTATCACTGATTGGACGTTGTAGAGGAACGAGAAAAAGTTGTAGTGCCTTCAGTAAGTTCAGGACAATCAGGTACGCTCTTTGAGTCCTTCTCCAATGACAAAGGATTGTCTGGTATGTGAGACCACTTGTACGCAGTATCTCACCTGTATCATAGGGATAACCGCAAGCCGGGATTTCACGCTTCCAGACGTCCTCATGCAGTCTTTCCATAGTAGGTTGTGAGCTGGCATGTCTCCATAGCTGACACAAGAAGCAATTCAAAAGAAACCGAGATGAGCAGTTTGTAAGCCGCTTTTACTCATCCTCCAGCTGTCTATGCTATGCTTTCCTGCGAACATACTTTGCAGACTTCTTTGGTCATTGAAGATTGCAATAAAAGTCTGGATGAGCTGTAAGTTCCTTCTTATGTGAAGACAACTGTTCACAGTGACTAAAGGCAGATCATCCTGTTCACAAACATTGCATGTGAAGCGGCTGAAGTTACTGATCCTGATAAATTTGAATCGAAATTCTACACACCTAAACCCAAGCTCGTTCAGGCGCTGTTGGCACCATCGAAAGTGACGGCTCTCGTCGTCAGCAACATGTAAGAAATCGGCAAAGAATTGCCTGCCAAGCTCTTCACTAGCATAGGAAAACCGGACCACTGTGTCCCAGGCAAGATCAATAGCATTTAGCTCAATATGTGCCAAGTTGTGCATCGCGTGTGCGCTAGCACTCAGCTCGGTGTCCTTGGGCCCTGGAACCTCCCTCGGTGGCACCTGAAAGCATTTCAAGGGGAAGAGTCAATCTCTGGAAATAAACTCGCATCGTCATGCGCTTCTCAGTAGCCCAGACCTGTACGGATATGCCTACTCGTCCCAAAATCTTATCCTGCAAACCCAGCGAGAGAACAATCCTACGAAGAAATCTTGATAGAAAGGCTGGTCTATCTCCCATAAATTCAGCTGCACTGCATGCCAGCAAGGACCTGCATGACCAAGTACAGACAAAACTACTTGATTTCCAATTCACCTCCAAATCGCGAAGAAACACCACTGTGTTGATTCCTGATGTCGATGGTGTTTCATCGTGATTCAGTCAAAACGTAAACAGCAAATGCCAGACAGAACGTTTATTTTAAGCAGTAGATACATAGCGTGAAGAAGTTGTGTGTCTGGAAAAACCTGAACTATTCTTATGAATCGCACGGCAAGAACATGTTGACAGCATGAATAAAAATCATTGTCTCTACACATGTTCGATAGTTTCCAATAAGACATGCGGCTGTCGAGATGATATTGTACATTGCAAACCCAGCATCAGGAGTTTCTACGGAGCTGGTAAGACAACAACAGTCGAAACCTACACGTCGGAAAATTCTCTAAGGGCGAAGACAGTGTCTATTCGACTCTCAGGCAAGTGGTCCGGACAACTCGTTTACTAACTACGAACTGGGCCGTGCAGTCCATCCAAAGAGAATAACCTTCGACGAGAGGGATTGGCATCTACGCAACATTCAAATATTAAGAACGTGAAGTACACATTATCGTGTTGCATGGCTCACCAATTGTGGCTTCGATGGCCTTCCTGGAGCATCTGGAGCAGCTCCCGTTCCAATTTGCATGTCCCCTTGATGCCACAGGCGGTACGCTTGATGAGTGAGGAACGCTTTCTCCAGTGGGTCCGGGGTGGCAAGTATGAACTCTCCCCATTTCGCCAATTCCGAAACGTTGATTTCCGGCTTTTCATCCTGTCGAATGAGCTCCAATCCACCACCTAGGACCGGCTCCTTCTCCACGGCAGGAGTGCTTTTGCCCCAAACTCTGCGCTCATCAATGGGAGCAGAACGCCACTGCTCGAGGCCTTTCCATTCGGAAACAGTTTGGACAGGGCGTTTGATTACGGTTTCTGTCGGAGACAACGAAGGTGCAACAGTGGCAGATTGCGTAGTGACGGAACTCAAAGCTCTCCGGCCAAGCATTGAGGTAGATTTTGGGCTGAAAGAAAAATATATGCAACTACGCGGAGACTGGAAGAGTAGTAGAGGATGCAGCTTGGCATTCATGGCGAAATTGCAAAGCTAAAGCACTAAAGCTCGCACTCCTTTATATAGGAAGCGGGAGCTTGGGAGCTTGTTTGTGGGGAGAAGGCTGCAGCTTGTCGGCTAGGGACACTTGTTACTCTTGTAAAGAACTTGATAGTATACTACGAAAGTGGTACTCGCAGCAAATTATATAGACAACAGGATTTCTGTCTTCCTAACCCCGAGTACAACCGGGCACGCGACCCTACCTACAGCATCAGCCCAGCAACATGTCCATCGTCTCCTCACGTCAGCTCCATTTTCTGCTATACTCCACCTCTAGTTCCCGGCCTGTACATCGGGACCTATATCTCCTCCTTCTCTTGCTACCTTGCTTATCTCTTGATTCCTTCCATGTATGTACCTCCAAGGACGGAACAAGCACAACCTTTTGTCATGCTTGGGTCAAAATACTTCAAAGTCCTCCTCAGATCGGTAACTTGGGTTCAGAAAATCGTAATCTTCTTTTGAATTTACTGTGCCAATCATCCATCTCTCAAGAGTCTCTCAAAGAGCCCACCAGCTGCCACGCGACACTCAAGAGTATCTATGGTTCCCTTTTCCTGTCGACGTCCCCAGGCCTTGGCTTTCTGGATACACCAGCGATACTCAAGAGAATCTACGCCCTATCAGCTGAAGTAGAGCAGAAGCCAGCCCCACCGCACCCTTGACTTCTTCAGGTTGTCTTAACACAAGAAAAATCCTCGATTATTACGACCTGCTGTCCATCATGATTGAGAATTCATGTATCACGAGATACTCGATTGGTCTAAATGTCTGCGATGTTCCCATCGCGTTCACTCTACACTCTACAAGTATTCAGCTGTCAGTCAGCAAACACCAACGTGGAACCATGATCACACAGAGTTTCTCAACGAACCCAAGTCAGCTTTTCGGAACTTTCTTCATCCTGCTAGATCTGGCTGTTAATACTTCTTCGCCATGGCGAGGAACAGTACAGTACACTGTAGTTCCACTAACCACCTCTTCCTTACATGTATTGGCATGCCCAGTACAGTACTTCCCTTTTCCCCGTATGACTTTTTTTCCTGATTCACCAGCTACTGTGCAGTAGCTTCCACATCAGAGCAGTGTTACTGTGCCTTTTCAACGATTTAGTGGTGAAGTCTACGGAACTACACGATATCGGAAGCAGTGATATTTGCAATGTCGACAGATGGAATAAACCCGTTAGCAAAGGTGCTGTAGCTGGTTCGAGGGCATTGTATGCCACGCTAAATACATGGTTCCCATATTCTAAACTGCTGCTAAAAAGAGACAAGAAAGTTTATACACTGCTGTATGGTAATACCTCTTTGCATCGTGAATGTCCGGATAGGACTCCGCTACTAGTTAAGTCTATATCGGTAAACATTCTTATTAGAGTAGCTTACAGTTAAATCCACGAGTTTTTAGGCTGAGAGCACAGCCTAAGGAGTCGTGCTCTCAGCGGCGAGTGGTCTTTCTACGTGGAATGGTGAGCAAATGTGACAACAGAGCGTGTGAATGGGGTCAAAGAGCGTGAAGACGGACTCTGCTTAAACAGATCTGATGGACACACCAGTTTGAGGATTGTATAAGCAAGAGGTGTCTGAAATGGAACATTCAGGAGTCAGATCTACCGACATCTACTATTACGATACGAGCACTGTTTACAGTTGTCTGAGAAGGTGGTGGAATCACTAAGATACGAGCTAGGAGCGAAGATCGAGTTATGCAAATCAGGAGATGACTCTCTTTTTCTGTACAAAGAAAAGAAGATGAAGGTAGATGTCTTCGTCTTGAGGAAAGAGAACGACGTATTATCGTTAACCCTAGGTTTAATTTAGTTCTTTGCACCGTGCCAGAACGGAAAGAACAGAAAATGTAAACGTTGTTCTACAACATAAACTGAAAATTGAAGATTACGCTGTTCATTTCAAATCTAATTTCACTCAAGAAGCACAACTTTCAAACAAATCGTGGCACCTATCTTAGTTTCCTTCCTTGTACAACTTCATGGGGTCTTCCCATCGTTCTTTGCTATTGACTTTGCCTCCTTGGGCCTTAATTGTTTTTAACTCCTGATTCCATTTTCGTCAATTCTTCATGTCCTTGTGGTTCTTGAAACCTTCGACGCCAGTTGCGCCACACCGTTGTTGTTCATATGCCATTTTCCATGGAGACCATTTCGAGAAAAATGGTGCGTTTAAGCATATCTACAAAGATAGATAAATATATAGAAAGAGATATAGATATATATTGATGCTCAAAAAGTACATGACACTGACGGTTCTCATCTCGCAATCCCTTCCGTGACTGGAGCCTGTAGTTGACGTATGTATGATAAGGGAGGAAATTCGCATCGAAATCCGTGAATTTCGCACTCCTCTCCCATCCTGAACACTTTTCTCCGCCTCGGCATCTACAGGCAACATCAGCACACGCATTGTCTTGCAGGCGGTTACGTCGCACAAACTCTACAGGACAAACTACTTCTTTGCAAAGATGTACGGGGCGGGAATCAAGCGCATTTGTCCAGAGCACTGTTAGAATAACATTTGCAGCACTGACCATCCGTCAGCTTATGAGGCACTGTGTGAGTGCATGGAAGACATTGAACCACATCTCAACCTCTGCGTTGCCAAAACAGTTCCCCGAGATTGCGAGAGATGTTATGGAGATGGCACCTCTAAAGCTGTCACCTCCTAAAGTTCTTTTCTGTCCTTGTTTAGACCCCAACTCCACTCGCGGGGCGGCGGGTTGGGTGGGGGCCTTGATACTGCGGTTACCACGCGTTCCTGCATAGTTCGAACCCGCGAGGACCTCTTCCACTGCTCGTATGATGCTTTTGGTTCTACCCTTTGGAATGTTGTACAGTACAGAGCTACGCCTCGCCCGCCCTGCGCTCCTCGAGACCGGTAAAAGGTAGAGAGAGAATATTCAAAAAGATAGATCTCGAATTTTGAAAAATACGCGCACCTCATTTCGAACACAAGTACTGTACCGTGCTGTAACGGTAGGTGTAGACGGTTGACATTACGACGAGGACGGTCGAAGGGACCGAATCGAAGGGAGCGCCTCCTTTTCTTCGTTCGTTCCTTTTTCGGATGCCCTTACATCGAGGGAGGCAGAAAGGGAGGGAGGGTGCAAAAAGTTTGCAAGTTATAGTTAAGAACTTCCTCTGGTAACGTAGCCTACACTTCGACATTAATTCATATAGAGGATGTGTAATCAATCATACATCGTTCATCGCCCGAGCGGCAGCCAGTCTAAACCGGCTGCTTGTTTGTTTGGTGTCCGATAAATGAGTGTGCAAAGAAGTCAAAAAAAATTTAGTCTATTTTCAAATTTATGTTATTTTCTGATATCCTACTTTAGCATATTCATGGAATTTGCGCGAGACATTCCTCTAGTGTGATAGATTTGTCACTCTCTTCAGCATATTGCAACGCGATGCAGATTCCAAGCATCGTGTATCAACCGCTCTACAGATTACAGAAGGTCATGGGGCTGATCAGGTCAGATAGTCATCACTTTATGTGATATTTTTGGATTTTCATGTAGTATGCACATTGTTCAGACTAGATGCTTGTGATATTCAAGGTGCAATATTATATATTTTCCTTTATGATCTATTGGACATAAGTCTCATCCAACCCGCTATCCCATGGATATTCTTTTACTCTGCAAAGAAATGAGGACTAGATTTAAGAAATAAGATTTCACCTTTGTGTTACTCTCTTTGATCTTCTCCTCATGCACTTAAATTCGAGTGATTTGCAATTAAGAACCAGTTTATCTTACCAACTCTAGGCGCAAGAGTAAGTCAAAATTATTTCTTAAGGAACTTAAAATTTTAAAACACCAAAAAAATTCCCAAGAACATCTCATGCATGCTTCAAAACTGCAATTAACTCGTCAAATTTGAATAATCACTTGAAGCTTACCATCCATTTAATAGACCTAACCTTTGAGCCCAACTTTTACCTATATAATCTTCTCAACTTCAAATATCTCTTGACAAGGATTCAAAAAATCTATAAACCCTGAAGATCTTCTGCCAGCAGGAAAACATGGAAATCCATCTTCATGATATATATTTTAACCTCATTATATATATGATAAGATACAATATAATATCTCTTGGAGTTTTATAACACCTTGAGATAACCAAGATCAAACCAACCTTAGGATGAGTTGCATTCATCCCTACCTACGATATCACAGTCATATGAGGATCTTCTCATAGTAATCAGGTGATAACGCAACACCGCTTCACTTCATCCCTATATGGTATTTTTTCATCATTTTTGGTATATTATTTGTTATACAATTTGAAGTCCAACCATACAAATTTCACTGTTCTAAGAATATACATGCTGGTTACCAAGAAGTATGTAAGTGTTTCATCCAGAGATCTGCAATAGAATTTTACCCAACTCTAATGATTAGTTGTTTACATATAAATTCTTGAACATATACGTTGTCTAGGCATCTCAACCAGGCCGCATGTAATCCTAGCAGAGTATAAACGTAGTTGAGTGATACAATATTTTCACATTCTAGTACGTTCAGAGGTACGCTGAATATAGAACCTGGTACAAGTTGAAGTTCATTCCAATCCAACAAGATGAGAACAATTTCAAGATTTCAGACCTCCACAAAAATGTGCTCTATATCCAAAGTCATTTAAACATCTTGGTCTACCGTCTACCGTTCATTTTGTCTCCGAAAATCAGAGACAAAATCAAGACCGATGAAAAACCAAAGGGAAATTTGATATCAAAACGTCCAATGTTCGTGACCTGGCGTATGACATGTGGAAGGTGGGGGGATCAAAATGGTATGAAAGTAGTAAGAGCACAAAAATGTTCTGGATTGTCTTCGAAGGGTGTGTGCATGCACCGATCAGCATGGTTCGCATTGTATTCGTCAAGCAGCATAATTTCGTCAATTTTGTAGGTGAACTTCGTCTACATGTATCGAAGAACAGTGCTCTTGCTTACGTTGGTCTTGATGAATTGCGCTGGGGGAGGTGACTGTTCTCCTGGTCACCTTGCGAGCCGACAATCTGCATCTGCTTTCCGCCTCGGCAAAATCGTCAGTCTTCGGTCTCAGCCTTCCAAACTTTTCCAATTGTCTAGCGTTATTGATTAGGGTTCATGTCGGCTAAGTCAAGAGACTGCTTTTGTCGAGCATAGACCTTGTCCTCAAAAGTATGTTCTTTAAAGCTCAGCAAAGTCTAGCGCAAACGACGTTGATAGTAAAAGACCATGACAATCAGCAGTCGAGAGAACAAAGGATTGCCCAACATTTCATAGTTTGAGGCAAATTTGGCTATTCGCCTCAATGACTTGTTAAGCTGACAAGAGTAAAACCGGACTTGTACATTATTTTGTTGGTAGGATTGTCTGGAACATTCCAATGCGAAATGAGCTGAAAACATGAGGACTGACATGATCGTGATCAACTATCGCCTGTCAACACTACAGCGTTAGAAGGCAGCTGCCAAGCAAACAGTAATCTACAATGTCGATTCGTTTGACACACGAAAACTTTTGAAATGTCTGCACCACAATGACTGCGAGGATGTTCCATCTTGAAATTACAAGCGTTTTGGGAAGCCTCGAGAGAAGATATTTTGCTTTATGACAGCCGACCTTCGGAAACAAAGTTAGGTGCGAAAGTGTACACACTTTTCTCCCATTCGTGTGAGCGAATCTAACCGCCCTTTCAAGTCGACAAGGCAATGCTGCGGAGTCACCTTACGTCGAAGTGCTCTTCGTCTTCTGAAAATTACTGCCGACCGGAAGAATATTGATCCAAAAGCTTTTAAAATGCGTAGCAATATTGTAAACTGCAAACCGCTTTGCTCGAACTGAGGATCACATAAAACATGACCGAGAAACCAAAGAATAAATGACAAACTACCGTTCCTTGGTTCTTGTTAATGTTAATGAGATGAGTCGAGCGTGGAATCTCTTGCTGCAGTAGCTGCAAACGCTCACATAAGGTACGTGTAACTCTGGGCACTTGTCAACCACCACCCGTTTGGTCTCGAGGTAAGTATGAGCTTTCCTTGAGTAAGAGGTGACACTTAAACTCTGAAGAGATGGGCTAAATGATCTTAAGTCCAAGTTAAAGTTCTGTTACATATTTCACGATCTTGCAAGTGCTGCGATTTCCCGAGAAAAAAATCCGCTTTAAAGTGTAACAGTATTGTATAGATTTGATATGTATGTTACTAGGTAATATATTTTTTCAAAAATAACTGGTTTCCAAAAGATTAAATAAGGACCCACAATTTTATCCCGTGTTTATATAATCTCTTGAACTGACAGATAAATTTCAAATATTCAGAAATATTATTAAAAAATTGAAACTTAGATTATTTACTATGTGGCATACATAATTGATAATACATAAACGTATGTATAGGTTACATCTTTTTTCTCAAGTTGTTTTCATTTTCATCATATAAGTCCAGTTCATATTTCATTTCTCTATATTGAAGACTATGCAGCAGGTAAACTTGTCAAAGAGATCTTAAAAAAAATGGAGAGAAAATGTATATGGTTCACTCATACAAGAAAATTAATTTTTAACGAAATACCCTAAGGTGTTCATATGGCTTTCGAAACAGTTAATCAGTTGTACACAAACTTAGATAATGTATATATGTCTCAACACGTTTTTCACAGATAAATAGTTTGTGATGTTTTGTAGGTACATGATTTTAACCCGTAATGGTTGAGGACATATATTCTAGTGGGACACCACAAGCATCTATCATGATATTTTTTTTAGAATAATATGGCTTCCAACGTGTTACAACCCACATGGTACAGTTTTTCTCTATCACCAGACTTGTCCAAGCACGCTGGAGTCTTGAGCTGAGATTTTGATCTAGTACATATGGTTGAAAGATCATATAAAAGCTATCACAGAAAGTATTCGCTTCCACAAAAAATTGTAGGTTCACAGCAACTTATTGGAATATTTAACTTTTGCACCTTGGTTTCTTTTGATGATTAACTTTATTTTTTGTGATAACAGATAATATGAACAAACCAAATTCCAGCCAATTGTTCATATATTGATTGCTAGGTAATTGATATTAGATGTTTATTTTTTTGCGATTTCTATTATTCTGATAGGATAACTGTTAAGACTAAATTGATTTGTTCGTGAGACTGTCCATCAGTTAACCCAACCATAACTTAAGTAGTGTGATGACGATGCATTTCATCTAGATAGCATGCATCTCAAAAACGTTTAAACTTTGAAATTTAATTTATTCCTTTTCTAATAATCTACGATCGATTAAGACGCAAATTTTCGTGTGTTTCAAACTACCGAGAATTCACAAAGAATAAACTTAATCATCCAAAGAAACCAGGGTGCACAAGTCAAATATTCCAATAAGTTGCTGTGAACCTGCTGTTTAATCAAGTTAGTTAAGAAAACTTGGATGCCTTACAATGTAGTTCTCTTGTAAGGTAATTGGGGCCTACTCCCATGTTAGGCCGTTGGTTTCATCTTGTAGGAATTCTGGAGATCTTCCCTTCCTTTTTGTAATTTTACTTTGTAAGTTTGTTGAACTCACCATTTTTAGCTCTTTCAATAAATATGTCAAAAAGTAGAAGCTATGCAAATATTATAGTGGCTTTGAAGGACCCATCACAAGCGACCAGATGTAGCTCATTAGTAGATTGATTTGCAGTCAGATATATCCGTAAAAGATTGAGTGTAGGCACGATGAAGTATATATGACTGGCTGAATGATCTACAAATCTTAGCTGCATGATATGTCCCACCTAAAATAAGAAACTTTATGATTTTGTTTCTGATATTCTTTCGTACAAAAAAAAATGGTTACCTCCAACATGGATTGTCCTAATGTTGAAATGCATTGTACTTTGTTCACATCTGTTGAGCTTTGACGGAAGATTCCTGCAAAGAATACCAAGGGATTGGGCTCAATAAATTTGGTAAACTGCATCCAGATCCCAAATATACAAGGTGCTTATCGACTTGCTTTCCGTAGACCCGTTCGTGCCAGAAATGTCTTGAAAAGGTAGTATGCTCTGCAAATGCTGTTTCCTTTTAAGAGACACACGGTTTTTTT